CCGACTTGTTAAAAAAAAAAAAAAATTGCTATTTTATAATTTTAAGTAAAATAGTTATATAAGGTTAAGAGTTTAAATTCTTTTTGGGGCACCCTGCCTTTTGTTAATATTATATTTATAAAAAATAAAGCCACATGGGTTACTTATACCCGCAAAAAAAAAAGGGAGGCTGATTTAGAGGGTCCTATAAAAGGTGAGTACAAAAAGCCATAAAGTAATAGGGATCATTTAACATAAAACCCCTTTGCTTAAAAATATTTAAAATTTTGGAAAAGTACTGCATTCCAAGAATGCCAATTTCAATGTAACTTTTCCCCAAAGGGTAATGTTAAAAACAACAAAAAAAAAATGGTGCAAATGCTATTACATAAATTTTATTGAAAAGCAAATTACTACCGTATGTTTGCTTAGAGTAATGTTTTCAAATAATGCATATGTTTCCTTTTGTTTCTCCTACTTTCATATTTAGCTAAAACAAAGTAAAATATTTCCCCTTTTTCATGGTCATACAAAATTGTCTATGGAAATAATAGTATGTTTAAGCATAAAAACTTTGAGCATTTTGAAAGTGTTTGCGTACCAAAAATTTTATTAAGGGGAAAAATTTTTACTCACTATACTTTTGTCAGTGCAATAACGAGAAAAACTATGATTATAGTAAACTGGGAAAATACATACCGAATTTTAAACAGGGGTAAGGGTTGGGTAGTTCAGTTGCAGAGGCATGCAGGGAAAAAGCTGTGGTCATTTATTTTTGTGTTCTGGGGGGCAGTATCAATTTTTGCCAAGATCCATTACCCGAAAAACATGTAGGAAAAATAGGGTTACATTTTAAACACCCAAATTTTCCACCCAAAATTTATTTACTATTTATGAGGTAAAATTGATCTATTATGCAAAAATTTAGAGCTTGGGGAAAAATGCAGAAAGGGTTTTGATGTGGTTTGGACATTTAGAGATGGAACCAAATAGGATGACTAGTAGGTGTTCAATTGGGGTAAAAGGGTTGGGTTCAGCCTAGGAAGGGGGGGGGGTAAAGGGGGAATTTTGATGCTAGTGGCCGGTTTGGTAAAACTCCCCCTTCACACACGGGGCCCCGGGGTTTGATTTCCCGGCGGTGGGAAAAATTCGACACGTTTCCTTCAAACCCTGTTTCCCCGTTCACCTAGCGCAAAAGGTACCCGGGGGTTAGTCACTGGGTGGGTCGCTCCTGGGGGGCAAGATTAAGGACCCCCAAAGGAAATAAGTTAGACAGTCCTCGATACGCATGACTTTCTTGGGTTATCCTGGGGGTGGCAACCTCCGGGGGTTTAAAAAACCCAATGAAATTTTTCTTATCTTAAGGGCCCCGGACATTTAAAAAGGCCGTATGACATGTTAGGAGTGGAGGCATTTTTTTTTTTTACATGACATGCTGTTAGTGGGAAGTAACATTTAAAGAAGGGGTTCGGGGAAACTATTAACTGGACTTAAGTCCCCGGAGGTGGGAAGGCAGTACTCACTCTAAGGAAGGATGGTATGTTGCAGTTCAAGGATTATTTAAATTTTGATGCCAACAAGCTCCCACATGATTATAATTATATAATAATTTATATTCTGCTTGTCATTAAGCTTTTAAGAAGTGTGGGGAGGGCAAATGTGGTCCTGGTGGGTTGAAGCAGCTACTTCATCACCCAACACTCTCACCAGAAAACTTTATGAAGCTGATTATGTTATTCAAAACTCAAACTGTCTGGCACTAAACTTCCAAAAAATAAAGAAATCTGATAATCGAGATCCTAAAAAAGTATTATATAAGAGAATACTGATACAGTCTCAGCTGCTGAGAGAGAGAGAGATAAGGGGGGGGGGACAGGGTGGACTGGGGCTGGATTTGAACTCTATTATTGAAGACAGACCAGCCCACTTTTTACTGAAAACATGGCCAGATTAAGATATGGGATTTAGGGACTGCGGCCCAGGAGCCTCCGCCAGCTGGAGGACCTCCAGACTGGTAGATAAGACACATACGCAACTTTATTCCAAAACGTTTCGTCTACACAGAAGGCTTCTTCAGTCGAGTACAGAAAGTAGGCAGGAGCAGTAGAGATGAGAAGACGATGTAATCAGTCCATCACCCTTGAAGTCGTAGAAGGTCGACCTAAAACTGAAATGGTCTAAAACCGAAATAATATTCCCCATAAGAATTAATGTAAATACAATTAATCTGTTCCAAACACCCAAAAATATTAAGTTAGTTTAATATCTTTATTATGCGCCCCATACCCATCCTGTGGGCAGTAGTCAAAAGATTACAAAGGTACATAATAAAAAATACATTTTTTAAAGATTAATTATAGTTTTACATACACAAAAAATGAGAAATAAATAAAATAAATAAATGAACATTTAAATCACTATTACATATCTTTATTGAAGACTCTTGTTGGCTTATATAAGACAGGGAGGAGGAGAGAGGGAGGAGTGATTATTGTTTGGAAAGGATATCCTCCTCCATAAGGACTTCAGGTATCACAGCCCTCTCTGGGGTTACTTCCCTCCCTGCCTGCTACACTCCCTGCATGCCTGTTACACTCCCTGCATGCCTGCTACACTCCCTGATACTCCCTGCATGCCTGCTATGCTCCCTGCATGCCTGCTACACTCCCTGCATGCCTGCTACACTCCCTGCATGCCTGCTACACTCCCTGCATGCCTGCTACACTCCCTGCATGCCTGCTACACTCCCTGCATGCCTGCTACACTCCCTGCATGCCTGCTACACTCCCTGCGTGCCCGCTACACTCCCTGCATGCCTGCTACACTCCCTGCATGCCTACTACACTCCCTGCATGCCTGCCTGCTACACACTCTGCCTCCTTTCCACACTCCCTGTTTCCCTGCTACACTCCCTTCCTCCATGCTACACTCCCTGCATGCCTGCTACACTCCCTGCATGCCTGCTACACTCCCTGCATGCCTGCTACACTCCCTGCATGTCTGCTGCACTCCCTACATGTCTGCTACACTCCCTGCATGTCTGCTACACTCCCTGCATGCCTGCTACACTCCCTGCATGCCTGCTACACTCCCTGCATGCCTGCTACACTCCCTGCATGCCTGCCTGCTACACTCTGCCTCCTTTCCTCACTCCCTGTTTCCCTGCTACACTCCCTGCATGCCTGCTACACTCCCTGCCTCCCTTCCACAGCATATGTGTAAAGAACCTAGCATAACCCAAAAAAGTCAGAGTGACTTATTATCATTGGGGTCCTGCCTCCCCAATACACTCCCTGCCTGCCTGCTACACTCCCTGCTAAACTCCCTTTCGCAACATTAGCTTCCTTAATTTCTACTTTCTTTGCCAGGATGGAAGCAACTGTCGATTTGGATTTCCACACATCCTGGCAAGTTCTAGCACTCGAAAACCATTCTCATACTTTTCAATTTCTTTCTTAAATTCCATCCTGTTTCTCACTTTCTTTACCAAAGGAACTTTCTTTGGGCCCATGGTTGCTTATTTCACAGTTGCACTCAATCAATAACCACAAAAAACAATGGATTATAGCGAAATGTTTGGATGAATGAGCAGAAATTTCCTCACTCACCCAGAGACACAGCCAGACTGACTCACGAATGTGTGAGTTGCTGGTGGGCAGACAGGTGGACATGTCCAATACAGTGGATAAGCGAAATAGCAGCCGATAACCGGAATAAAATTTTGGCCAAAAAACTGGGCGATAACCGAGTTGGCCGATATCCGGAACCGAAGGTCCACTACCAGAAACAGCACTGGCCCTAGAACTGACCCTTGTGGAACCCCACTTATCATAGTTGCCCAATCTGACACCTCGTCACACACCATCTCTTGCTTCCTGCCTGAGAGGCATTCTATGATCCATTGCAGTGCTTTTCCTGTTATTCCTGCCTGCTCCAGCTTTTGCACTGATTTCGTGTGGAACTGTGTAGGTTTGTGACAGGATTTTCCCTCCCTGGAACCCTGCTGGTTACTGTGAATAAGCTTATTCCTTTCTAGGTGTTGCACCAGCCTTTTCCTGATAAGCTTGTCCACAACTTTCCATACTATACATGTCAGTGACACTGGTCTGTGTGTGTTTAACTTCTTTTTTGAACTATTAAAACTGGATACATCTGCAATGTTCTTGTGAAAATTTGTGTGGACTGCCTCCAAGTGAGTCGCCTACCCTGGCAAGCTCTGTTGACACCGAGCTCTGAGGTGGGTACCTCAGCCTCACAAGTGGCTTATAGGACAGATTTTCACAAATGATTGGTGTTGCAAGAAACTCACCTGCATGCACGTATAAAGGACTAACTTACTTGGTGTTGCAGCATATATCCTGATCTTCAACTTCCCTAAGCTTAGCCTTAGCCCCTTCAGACTTCCCCTCAGAAATCACGTGCAACCGGGAGCCTGAATTCCTGCAATATTCAATCGTTATTAGTGACCTGCCTGCACCTCAGAAATTCCAATATCCAAGAGGGTGTGTATCCCCTAGTACAACTATGCAGACACGTACACTAGCTTCTACATAGACAAGAGACACTGGTACATACTGGGCATGCACTCCCAGCTGCAACACAGGCCCACAGATCAACTCACTCACAATTTCCCCAAACACTGGCCAGAAATCTACGAGATAAAGTGGAGGTCTTGTCTTACTGTATGGGCCTGACGGAGGAGGTCATCTATGGTACATCGAGGTGCCTCTACCAGATTTCCCCAGGTCTCTTATGTGAAGACACGTGGGGGGCGCTGTCTGCTGATCACTGCACGTCTTGTCCAGTTGGTGTCTGTCTTAAGAAGGACGCTATTGTGTCTTTGAGACCCGCGCCTCGTCATTCAAGCTAGGGCTGCCAGTTCTCCCTGGCTAACTTAACCTAGTGTTTGCCTACATTATCGGCCTATTACTACCTATGTTAAGGTCTTAGGTCTACATTATTATTATCTACAGTTGCCTTAGTAAACCTAATATCAATATACTAACAGTAAAACTACCTACTCCACGCCTACCATCCACGCCAACTCGGGGAAAGAAATGTGTTTATGTTTGGGGAGAAGCTTTTTGTTTGGGTGGGTTTAAGGGCCACCCAGCTCAGCCGTTCCATTACGTCCATGCTGGAACCCCCTTTGTACGCCAGATCTGTCCTGTGGAACTTTAGGGACCAAATAAATTTCCACAATTCTGTTACTCTATTCTGTATGAAAATTATACAGTGGGAATTAAAGCTAATAGTGTTTCCCTGTAATTTTCCATCACACACAATATGATTCATACACAGTGTTGAAATCTATCATTAGGGTCATGTCAGTGTCCATGTGTGTGGGAGAGGTGCAGGGTATGGGTGTTGTACAGAATTATCAGACTGCTTGTTTTGTAGTGTTAAGTTGATCCAACTATTAAATATTTAATATACTGGTATGTTTTATAGTTCCCAAAAAATGTAAATCTATCAAGACATAAAACCTTGGAAAAATAACGAAATGAACCTACATGTGATATTCATAACATTCCACATCAGAGGGAGAGAGATCTTGTCTAACAGTGGTGGGGGGGGGGAACCATGGATAATGAATTCTGTTACTCACTGTTGTTAAATAATTAAAAAAAAAAAGTCGAATGCCTCCTTCCCTCTTCAATCAATCATACCCACTATCATTCTGCAAACAATGATATTCAGGACTTATACTGTAGGGGTCATTTATGTGCCTATTGTCTATAAAATTCTTAATTCTACAATTTAATGTTGGTGGCGGTGGTTACTCCTCTCTCCTACCCCCACTACACACCTGAAGCCAGAAGTACAAACATGCTCTGCTGTTTGTCAGTGTATATGCTGAATGGTAACTGTTAAAATATAAAAGATTTTTATTTCTTTGCAATGTTTACAATGTGTGATTCCAGTTTTGATTTGTTAAGTACAAAGAAAGCCACTATCATGCCGGGGCATTTCGGCATGATATTTTAATATTTATTTAAGGAATTAAGATGTTTAATATTACATAATAACATTGCATAAGTCCTATTTAAATTCATCAGTTCGTACTCATATTGCTTAACCAATTTTTAAAGCTATCCAAAGAAATAGCGTCAATAACACAAATAACCTATTCTAGGGGAAGGTTAACAGAGGTTATTGTTATGTACTGGTGAAATGACATCTTAAACTACTTGTTATGCTATTATTTGTGTTAAACAATAAAAAAAAGTAGCTATAACATGGTTTATTTTACAGCACACTTTGGTTAGTGGAGTATTACAGGATCTGCCAAAAGTCTTTTAATTTTGTTAACCAGTCTCCATCTTCGTTACAAGCTGCCCTATTTCATGAAAATAGTCTTTACTCCTCTGTTTGCTATACTATCTGAGTTGCCTGATATTATTTCTGCCCGGGGAGAGTAGAGAAACTTTTTTCCTAAACTGTACATAGGTTGTATGTATTGTAAAATGTAAAGTAATGCCTGATTTCTGCCGAGTAGTGGTAGATAACTATAACCTAAGATATGCTAAGATACATTCATACAATAATTAAACCCTTCCAATGACAAGTCAAAATACTTTTCATTTAGTTAAAGCGCTCGCATATAGTTATCATAATATATTATTCTTTTCCCAATATGGCTGTATATCTTGGTGATAATACCAAGACGATAAGATAAGAGTTGTTCTTATATTGGAACGCCTCATAACACAGAGTAATGGTACTGCCTAGTAGTGATGTAGAATAGTGCGAGACGCATGGGAAAGGCTACATAAAAGCTCAGTTTATTGAGTTCGGATCCTGCTGGCGCTTGACCTCCACAACAGAACCTCTGGTTGGGGGAACAATGCAGGAGGAGAGGTACGAGGCTGTCCCTACTGAAGATCATGGAGGAGGCGCTGGCGCTGGAGGAGGAGGAAAAAGACTAAAGCACCTTGCGTGGATACTGTTTCCATTTGTTAGTGCTTTGCTCTATCTGGGCGATCTTAGTAGCAGCATCTGCTATGCCGTTGTGCTGTTCACCCACGCCAGAGAGAGAGATGTAGTTATCAACCAGCTGGACTTCATCGGGTGGGGGTGTATCATCATTATCATCCACGTTGTGTCAGGCATCCTTATAAACTTCATCGCCACTTTCTCCGGGTGAGATAATTTACTTGGAAGATAAGAATGATTTTTGTTTAGATTCTCAAAATGCATAGAAAGAAGAGTAAATAAAGAACATTAAAACTGTTATACTTTACAAATAAGGAGATAATAAAGCAAAGAAATGCCTACTTCTCAGTGCTTCTCAGCACTGTGTGTGTGTGTGTTGTGTGTACTCACCTATTTGTACTCACCTATTTGTGGTTGCAGGGATCGATTCATTACCAACAGACCCCTGGCAGTCTTCAAGCTGACACTGGACAAGCACCTAAAGTCGGTTCCTGATCAGCCGGGCTGTGGCTCGTACGTTGGTTTGCGTGCAGCCAGCAGTAACAGCCTGGTTGATCAGGCTCTGATCCACCAGGAGGCCTGGTCACAGACCGGGCCGCGGGGGCGTTGACCCCCGGAACTCTCTCCAGGTAAACTCCAGGTATGGCTCCTGGCCCCGCCTTTTCACTAGCCGCTACTTGGTCCTCTCTCTCCCTGCTCCATGAGCATTATCATACCTCGCCTTAAAACTATGTATGGTTCCCGCATCCCGCCTCCACTACGTCACTTTCTAGGCTATTCCACGGCCTGACTACTCTATGACTGAAGAAATACTTCCTAACATCCCTTTGATTCATCTGAGTCTTCAACTTCCAATTGTGACCTCTTGTTTCTGTGTCCCATCTCTGGAACTTCCCATCTTTGTCCACCTTGTCTATTCCGCGCAGTATTTTATATGTCGTTATCATGTCTCCCCTGACCCTCCTGTCCTCCAGTGTCGTCAGGCCGATTTCCCTCAACCTTTCTTCGTAGGACAATCTCCTTAGCTCTGGGACTAGTCTTGTTGCAAACCTTTGCACTTTCTTTAATTTCTTTACGTGCTTGACCAGGTGTGGATTCCAAACTGGTGCTGCATACTCCAGTATGGGCCTAACGTAAATAGTATACAGTGTCTTGAACGATTCCTTACTGAGGTATCGGAACGCTATCCGTAGGTTTGCCAGACGCCCGTATGCTGCAGCAGTTATCTGATTGATGTGCACCTCAGGAGATAAGCTCGGTGTTATACTCACCCCCAGATCTTTTTCCTTGAGTGAGGTTTGCAGTCTTTGGTCTGCGGTCTTCTTTGCCCTCCCCCAATCTTCATGACTTTGCATTTGGCAGGGTTAAACTCAAGGAGCCAGTTGCTGGACCAGGCTTGTAGCCTGTCCAGGTTTCTTTGTAGTCCTGCCTGATCTTCGTCTGATATGATTCTTCTCATTAACTTCACATCATCTGCAAACAAGGACACTTCTGAGCCTATCCCTTCCGTTATGTCATTCACATATACCAAAAACAGCACAGGTCCTAGGACTGACCCCTGTGGAACCCCACTTGTCACAGGCGCCCACTCTAACACCTTGTCACGTACCATGACTCGTTGTTGCCTCCCTGTCAGGTATTCTCTGATCCATTGCAGTGCCTTTCCTGTTATGTGTGCCTGATCCTCTAGCTTTTGCAGTAACCTCATGTGAGGAACTGTGTCGAAGGCCTTCTTGCAGTCCAAAAAAATGCAGTCGATACACCCCTCTCTCTCTTGTCTTACTTCTGTTACCTTGTCATAAAACTCCAGTAGGTTTGTGACACAGGATTTTCCTTCCCTAAAACCGTGCTGGTTGTCAATTATACACTTGTTTCCAGGTGCTCGACCACTCTCCTCCTGATGATCTTCTCCATGACTTTGCATACTATACATGTTAGTGAAACAGGTCTGTAGTTTAATGCCTCATGTCTGTCTCCCTTTTTAAAAATTGGGACTACATTTGCCATCTTCCATACCTCAGGGAGTTGCCCAGTTTCAATGGATGTGTTGAAGATCTTTGTTAATGGCACACACAGCATCTCTGCTCCCTCTCTAAGGACCTACGGAGAGATGTTGTCTGGTCCCACCACCTTTGAGGTGTCAAGTTCACATAGCAGCTTCTTCACCTCCTCCTTGGTTATGTGTACCTCATCCAGCACTTGCTGGTGTACCCCCTGTTTTGATTTCCTGGAGTTCTACTGGTTTCCACTGTAAATACTTCTTTAAATCTCGTGTTGAGCTCGTGGTTGTGTGTGTGTGTGTGTGTGTGTGTGTGTGTACTCACCTATTTGTACTCACCTATTTGTGGTTGCAGGGGTCGAGTCCTAGCTCCTGGCCCCGCCTCTTCACCGGTTGCTACTAGGCCCTCTCTCTCCCCGCTCCATGAGCTTTATCAAACCTCGTCTTAAAACTGTGTATGGTTCCTGCCTCCACTACGTCATTTTCTAGGCTATTCCACTGCCTTACAACTCTATGACTGAAGAAATACTTCCTACTATCTCTCTGACTCATTTGTGTCTTCAACTTCCAATTGTGGCCTCTTGTTTCTGTGTCCCCTCCCTGGAACATCCTGTCCTTGTCCACCTTGTCTATTCCACGCAGTATTTTATATGTCGTTATCATGTCTCCCCTGACCCTCCTGTCCTCCAGTGTCGTCAGGCCGATTTCCCTTAATCTTTCTTCATAGGACATTCCCCTTTGCTCTGGAACTAACCTTGTCGCAAACCTTTGTACTTTCTCTAGTTTCTTGACGTGCTTTATCAAGTGCGGGTTCCAAACAGGTGCTGCATACTCCAGTATGGGCCTGACATACACGGTGTACAGTGTCTTGAATGATTCCTTACTAAGGTATCGGAATGCTGTTCTCAGGTTTGCCAGGCGCCCATATGCTGCAGCAGTTATCTGATTGATGTGTGCTTCCGGAGACATGCTCGGTGTTATACTCACCCCAAGATCTTTCTCCTTGAGTGAGGTTTGCAGTCTTTGGCCGCCTAGCCTATACTCTGTCTGTGGTCTTCTGTGCCCTTCCCCTATCTTCATGACTTTGCATTTGGCAGGATTAAATTCGAGAAGCCATTTGCTGGACCAGGTGTCCAGTCTGTCCAGGTCTCTTTGAAGTCCTGCCTGGTCCTCATCAGATTTAATTCTCCTCATTAACTTCACATCATCTGCAAACAGGGACACTTCTGAGTCTAACCCTTCCGTCATGTCGTTCACATATACCAAAAATAGCACTGGTCCTAGGACCGACCCCTGTGGGACCCCGCTCGTCACAGGTGCCCACTGTGATACATCATTACGTACCATGACTCGTTGTTGCCTCCCTGTCAGGTATTCTCTGATCCATTGCAGTGCCCTTCCTGTTATATGTGCCTGATGCTCTAGCTTCTGCACTAATCTCTTGTGAGGAACTGTGTCAAAGGCCTTCTTGCAGTCCAAGAAGATGCAATCAACCCACCCCTCTCTCTCTTGTCTTACTTCTGTATTTTATCATAAAACTCCAGAAGGTTTGTGACACAGGATTTGCCTTCCGTGAATCCGTGCTGGTTGGCATTTATACTCCTGTTTCCGTTCCAGGTGCTCCACCACTCTCCTCCTGATAATCTTCTCCATAATTTTGCATACTATACACGTCAATGACACAGCTTTATAGTTTAGTGCCTCTTTTCTGTCTCCTTTTTTGAAAATGGAACTACATTTGCCGTCTGTGTGTGTGTGTGTGTGTGTGTGTGTGTGTGTGTGTGTGTGTGTGTGGTGTGTGTGTGTGTGTGTGTGTGTGTGTGTGTGTGCGTGCGTGTGTGTGTGTGTGTGTACTCACCTAATTGTGGTTGCAGGGGTCGAGACTCCGCTCCTGGCCCGGCCTCTTCACTGATCGCTACTAGGCCATCTCTCTCTCTCTCTCTCTCTCTCTCTCACTCTCTCTCTCTCTCTCTCTCTCTCTCTCTCTGTCTCTCTCTCTCTCTTCTCCCTGAGCTTTATCATACCTCGTCTTAAAGCTATGTATGGTTCCTGCCTCCGCTACATCACCTGCTGGACTAGTCCACTTCCTGACAACTCTATGACTGAAGAAATACTTCCTAACATTCCTTTGACTCGTCTGAGTCTTCAACTTCCAATTGTGACCCTTTGTTTCTGTGTCCCATCTCTGAAACATCCTGTCTCTGTTCACCTTATCTATTCCATGCAGTATTTTGTATATCGTTATCATGTCTCCCCTAACCCTCCTGTCCTCCAGTGTCGTCAGGCCGATTTCCCTTAACCTTTCTTTGTAGGACATTTCCCTTAGCTCCGGAATTAACCTTGTTGCAAACCTTTGCACTTTCTCTAATTTCGCGCGCCCGCGCGCGCGCGCGCGCGCGCGTGTGTGTGTGTGTGTGTGTGTGTGTGTGTACTCATCTAGTTGTACTCACCTAATTGAGGTTGCAGGGGTCGAGTCCAAGCTCCTGACCCCGCCTCTTCACTGGTCGCTACTAGGTCACTCTCCCTGAACCATGAGCTTTATCATACCTCTGCTTAAAGCTATGTATGGATCCTGCCTCCACTACATCGCTTCCCAAATTATTCCACTTCCTGACTACTCTGTGGCTGAAGAAATACTTCCTAACATCCCTGTGATTCATCTGTGTCTTCAGCTTCCAACTGTGTCCCCGTGTTGCTGTGTCCAGTCTCTGGAACATCCTGTCTTTGTCCGCCTTGTCAATTCCTCTCAGTATTTTGTAAGTCGTTATCATGTCCCCCCTATCTCTCCTCTCCTCCAGTGTCGTCAGGTTGATTTCCCTTAACCTCTCCTCGTAGGACATACCTCTTAGCTCTGGGACTAGTCTTGTTGCAAACCTTTGCACTTTCTCTAGTTTCTTTACATGCTTGGCTAGGTGTGGGTTCCAAACTGGTGCCGCATACTCCAATATGGGCCTAACGTACACGGTGTACAGGGTCCTGAACGATTCCTTAAGATGTCGGAATGCTGTTCTGAGGTTTGCCAGGCGCCCATATGCTGCAGCAGTTATTTGGCTGATGTGTGCTTCAGGAGATGTGCATGGTGTTATACTCACCCCAAGATCTTGTTCCTTGAGTGAGGTTTGTAGTCTCTGGCCCCCTAGACTGTACTTCTTCTGCATTCTTCTTTGCCCTTCCCCAATCTTCATGACTTTGCACTTGGTGGGATTGA